CTCTCTCTCTCTCTCTCTCTCTCTCTCTCTCTCTCTCTCTCTCTCTCTCTCTCTCTGTCTCATTGTGTCATACGGATTACTGTTAATTTATTATGCTGATCTGTTCTGTATGACATCTATTGCACGTTTGTCCGTCCTGGAAGAGGGATCCCTCCTCAGTTGCTCTTCCTGAGGTTTCTACTGTTTTTTTCTCCCCGTTAAAGGGGTTTTTTTGGGGGGGAGTTTTTCCTTATCCGCTGTGAGGGTCCTAAGGACAGAGGGATGTTGTATGCTGTAAAGCCCTGTGAGGCAAATTGTGATTTGTGGTATTGGGCTTTATAAATAAATTGATTGATTGATTGATTGATTACTGCACCAGTCCCTGAAGGCATCCACAAGGTCCCTGCACTCCCACTCTTGATTGCTCCTGATACAAGCCTAAATAGCTTTATCATCAGAGTATTTTGTATGTAGCAGGACTCTGAGTTGTACTTACAGTCCGCAGTGTAGAGTGTGAACAGGAACGGTGCTAAAACAAACAGCACCAGTGCTGCTCCTGACCATCCTGGAGACACAGCTTCCAAGCCTGACATACTGAGGGCGCTCTGTCAGGAAGTCTGTTATCCAGGAGATCAGGAAGCAATCTACTCCGATCCCCTCCAACCGGTCTCTCAGTATAGGGGGCTGGATAGTATTAAAAGCACTTGAAAAGTCAAGGAAAAGGATCCTCACACAATATCCCGGCTCCTCCATGTAGGTGTAGGCCCGAAGCAGCATGTAAAGAACCGCATCTTCCACTCCAATGTGCTCCTGATAGGCAAACCGGAGGGGGTCCACAGCATCAGTGACCTCTGACCTCAGGAAACAGAGGACCAGTGGCTCCAGGGTCTTCATAATGTGTGATCTTAGGGCCACCGGTCATTTAACTTGGCTGGGCGCCTCACTATGGGCAGCACCGGGACTTTGCTTGTGTGTGTGTATACATATATATACAGTACAGGCCAAAAGTTTGGACACACCTTCTCATTCAATGTGTTTTCTTTATTTTCATGACTATTTACATTGTAGATTCTCACTGAAGGCATCAAAACTATGAATGAACACATGTGGAGTTATGTACTTAACAAAAAAAGGTGAAATAACTGAAAACATGTTTTATATTCTAGTTTCTTCAAAATAGCCACCCTTTGCTCTGATTACTGCTTTGCACACTCTTGGCATTCTCTCCATGAGCTTCAAGAGGTAGTCACCTGAAATGGTTT